GACTTGTGTGGGGTTCCAGATAAGCCATATGCCACCAACTCTTCCCACAGGATCCACAATAGTTGATGCTGTGTAGCCTAAATTATTAAAAAATAGTCCCATTGAACTAAACATCACCTTGGTTTCAAATAGAGCAACCACATCAGGTCTGTGGGTTCTGATAATCTCCTTGAAATTTCTGCGAAATATTTTGTTGCCGCCCCCCCGGCAATTCCATAGCATTATATTCATTGATGAATGGTTGGGAAATTCTGGTAAAGGCTCTGAGGGACTCAAGCCTAATATTCCACGCACTATACTTTTATTCAATGTAGATGGGCGCAGGGCTGCCATCTGAGTTTCCTGAAGAAGTCTTCCTCCCACGCTCTGCCATCTGGGCTCTATGTTCAGGCGGGTTTCGTCTATCCACCAAGTGGTGTTTACTTGGTGAATTACTTCGCTCCCTAGTTCGAGATATGACCCCACCGCACTGTGCATCATCTTGGATATTTGCACTTCTGGCATAACCGTTACTGCGTTGTTGGAGTTGTCGCTCATGTTGTTAAAGTTCTCGCTCATGCTCAAAGTCAGGAGGGTGCTGTTTGGGTGTAATTTGAATAGCTAGTGTGTGATTATCTGGAGGGGGAAGTGGTAGGGAGGTGGTTGAGTAATAACAGTATTTGATGGTAGGGGTGAAGATGAGAGGATGAGAGTAAAAGAAGGTGGTGCAATATTGGGAACCAGCTCACTCATCAAAGAATCCGAGGCAATTTCTGATCCTATTACAGGTCTAGGTTCAGACACAGACATAGACTTCACATGGGAAACCTGTATTTGAGTTGAAGTATCCTTTATATCCTGATAAGGGTGAATCTCAGTATTGTTAACCACTGGGCTAGAGGACTCCGCACCTGGCACGGGGTTATTAGGTGCTGCACATGAAGATGTATTGTGGATGATATTGGTGTGGGTTCCTTGTAGTTCTTTCCCTTTCAACTTATCTTTGGTCCCATCCATTCTCTTTTTGTTAGTAAAGTGGCCCAAACCTATTGTTGGGCCTATGGTGGATGTGGCCTCCTTCAGCTCGATTATTTCCTATGGGTTTACGAGTCCGTCTGGTAACTAGCATCCATGGACCAAATTCGGCCTCCTCTTGTTGGTTCAGATGTGGTTTTGATCCTGATGCACTAGCCGTTGGGCGCTGCTCTGGTCTGACTTGAGGATCATTACTGTCTCCTTGCCTCGCCGGTGACGGAGGCGGAGGTGCAGCCCCCTTAACATTACAGTACTCTTTCCGATGACCAATCTTACCACAAGCAAAACAAAAGTAATGTAAATGTTCATACTCGATTGTGTAAGAATATTTACCTATGGCGAATCGTGATACTAGGGGTTTTGTGAGATCCACTTCTACACACACTCAAGCATATCTACCTCTGATTAACATGGCTGTATTCAAATCAACTTTCAACGGTCTGCTTATCACCTTAGTGATATGGTAGAGTACCTTTTCATTATAGTATTCGATTGGGAGTTGTGGAAATCTTACCCAAAGTGCTGTAGTGACCTCTTTAGCTTTAGATGGCTTGAAATCATGTTCCCATCTTCTAACTATGAGGTAATGATCCATGATTATCCAAGGGCTTCAGTGTTGACTCTGTTGCAGTCGGCCAACATTTCGAATTTGATTAGGAAGAATCCAAGACCCAAATCGGTGGCTTCGAAGTCCCCTTGTAATCCCCGTAATTTCTTTAATCTATGAACCAGAAATTTGAAACCTACTGTTTTCCCCAATAGTCAAACTATGAGGCAATCCTTCCACGGTTTACGGATTGATGCAATCAGCCTAGGCGGAAGTTTGATTTTGGGTATTCTTAGGTTGAACCCAGACTCTTGCTCCTCGTCTGATTTTGCTCCATTGTTTTCTTTGTTAGTGAGGAAATCATCATCAGTTGAGAGGCGATCAAGGTCATTATCAAACGCCTTCTCATTATTCTTGGTCACGGTGAGAGCTTGTTTAAAGCATTTCGTGTTGCTGGCTTCGGGAAGTTTAGTTTCTTCCTCCATCTATTGTGTTTCAATTTGTGTAGACCTCTCCTCCATCTCTTGATCATCTTGCTCAGTTGTGGTACTCTTAATCTTCTTGGTGCTGCGTTCCAGATGATCCTCCTCCTCCGGGGATCGGTACATGATATGAAATAGTATAATAATACATTTACTTACTATCCTATCCTATAAACCTAAATTTGTAAAAACTATTCTAAAATATTAAATGTGATTATTCATGTTTCATGCATATATTTCATAACAAATATAAATTTGTTTAAAAAAAAATAGAAATCAGAAGTCTTCAACAAAATACAAGCCCACTAAAACTCTTTATCAAAATAAAATAAAAAATCGAGTAGTCTTTAGTGAAGTATTAGATACAGATCATCATTTGCACACGTAAAAAAAAATCTTTGCAGAATTATTATACATATGAATTAATGAGGTTCAGTTACCAAAAGTTGAACATCATTATAAATTGGATTTTTTTTTTTTTTTTATGTATATAAAATTTATCAAACCAAAAACTCAACAAATTGTATTCAATAAAATTTAAAAAACCAAAATCAGCCGGTTCAATTGGTTCATCTGATTTTTTTTAAATTCCTAATCTCAATGGTAGATTACTGCGACTCTAGTTGTAGATCAAGTATCATAAGAAGATATTTAGATACTAGGTGAGTTTAAAAAATAAAAATAATGTAAATTTATTTTTGGGCTAATTTTACTTCATTTTATTGTGACCTGGTCGGTCTATGTGCACATAACTCTTATCATTTAAAAATAATCATATAACTCTTCTGTGATTTGTCGATTAAAGAGCACTGCTAGGCATGTTAACGACTTAAAAAAAAGGACTAAACTATATATAAGTAATTTCATTATGTAAATTACAGATATTTTGTTATTTTTTTGTAAAGTAACTTTAACTCCACGTGTTTTATTCCATGTGCAATTTATTCATTAACATTTAGAAATGAACACATAATCCTTTATGGCTCAACACGTGTTTCATATTTACTGTCAACTTGAACAAAATGCCTATCAGTACATTTCAATTTACAAATTATAAGAGATTATATGATTAGTTCCAAATGATAATGGGTGATTTGCACATGAAATAAACCAAAGTAAAGTAAATATTTTATTTTTATTTTTATTTTTATCTTATTTAATAGTGCATTGCAGTTGATGAGTTTGTATCTCAACAACTATATGGTGCAGATAGCAACTCAGGTCCTCATTTTCATTCTTTATATATTACTTCACTTGCCCATCTTTTCTTTAGCTTCAAGTGATGACTTCGTGAAGCAATGCCCCAACCTCTCAAATATCTCAAAACCCAACAAAACAACTAAACTATAAAGTTCACCAATGCCAATCATATGTCACCTTAGTCTTCTACGTTTCTAGTTCCCTTCTAACTTATTTATCTTCATTCAAGTTCATCAATAGCTGCCGGAAAAGTCAGATTCCGGCAACTTTTCCGGTCATCGATATGGGTACAGTGGAAAGATCCAAGAAAAAGGTCCAATTATACAATAAAGCTATATTCCACTTCTTCTTGTGTTTTGTTATGGGATTCTTCACCGGCTTCGCCCCAACGGGTAAGTCACTTTTTTCTAGACCTGTTGTCGCATCGAATAGATCAGCATTTTCACCACAAAGTCTGAGTCTGAGTTTGAGTCCGAGCCAAGCAAGAACACAGAGTGACAGTTTCAACACAAGTTTGTTAGATGAAACTCCTATTGTGGCAATATCAACAAAGTCAAAGTCAAAGTCTGAGTCTGAGTTTGAATCTGAGTTTGAATCCGAGCATGAGAGATTAACAAATTTGGAAGAAGTCGAGTTGATCCCCAATAGGCTCATAATTGTTGTCACACCGACTAGTGTGAAGGATCCCCTTAGAGTGGTCTATCTAAGAAGGCTAGCAAACACATTGAGATTAGTTCCTCCACCATTATTGTGGATGGTTGTGGAGCAAAAGTCTAATTCAGCTCGAGTTTCTGAAATACTTAGAAAAACGGGTATTATGTACCGTCATTTGGTGTTCAAAGAGAATTTTACTGATTTTGAAGCGGAAATGGATCATCAAAGGAACCTTGCGTTGAATCACATCGAGCACCATAGGCTAAGTGGGATCGTTCACTTTGCCGGGCTCTCCAATGTTTATGATTTGAGCTTCTTCGATGAGATCAGAGCCATTGAGTACGTGTTCTTTTTCTTTTTTTGCTATGATAATCTTTATGATAGAAGTAGCAAAGTAATATAGTTTATAATTCTTCATAGTTTACTAGGGAAAAACATAGAGAAAAAATTGAAAATGAAGAGGTTGTTATAGAGAAGATAGATTGCAGGCCATTTGGGAGGGAATTTTGAAGTCAAATTTAGTGTTTGGATAATTTTAAATTAGGATATCTACTCTCTCGCATTTCTTTTCAATTATCAACCAATTATATCACTTACTTAGAATTTCTCTAAAAAATATATTTATATATTATTTTCCTTTTTAATTTACAGCTAATAATTTTGAGCCCTAACAAACAAGTCTTCCAAAATTTGGAATTTCTAGTGACCAAATAAATTCGCCTATTTTTGTATTTCTCTAATGCACACAACCTGTTTTTTAGAGAGATTATTTGTTAATTTTGGACTAATGTTTTATACTATTTATTATTTGACATTTGTTAAGTTGTTTCTTAAAATTTTAACAAAAATTAATGAATTTACTACTTTAACCAACAAATATTAAGTTAAGGATTCCTTTGGGAATTAACATTTTTTTTCTGGTGATGATTTTTAACTTTTTATAAAATATAAAAAAAAATAAAAAACATGATTTGATAACTTAAAATGACTTTTTAACATTTTAATTAAAGAGATTGGTTTCTCTCCGGTCCTTCATCAAACTGGAGAGGTACTGTTGGGCCTACAGGAGGACTGGAGAGATATTGTTGGACCTAGTGGGCCCACTTTTGAGCCATACTTTGGTGATTCGAATCATTCACATTTTAAAAATTGTCAAGTATATCATCCCTGTAAAAGAACGAGTCGATTAGATAAGGACAGTCGCGTGTTGAGATCAATTTTATATAAACTATTTATTTTCTCACTGTCTATTTTTTTTTATACGAACTAATCCGAATACGTAATTTTCGTTATCTAATCGACTCAATTTTTACAAAACTAATATACTCGACGAATTTTAAAATATGAACAATTCGAATTATCAAAAACGAAACCAAAAAGTAAACTCAATAGTACTTCTCCAATCCGACAAAGGACTAGAACGAAACCAATCTCTTAACTAAAATAATAAACATTCCCTAAGTCACAATACAAATTTGGCGGAAGATCACCAAAAATGATTGAGAGCTTTAGAAAGAGAGCTTTAGAAGAGCACTAAATGGGTGCGATCCACCTATTATGTAATGTATGTACCTAAGTGTTTGTTTTTTTATTTTTTTTCCTTATCAAATATGTAAAACTCTCTTTAAAACTCAAATATTAAGGACTTGTTCGGTAATTATTTTGTTTTTAATTTTCAATTTATATTTACAAAAATTTAAAAAGTTGTCATAAAAATTTGTTTGATAATTTTTTTAGTTTATAAATGGTTGTCTCGGTTTATAAATTTGAGAAAAAAACGTAAACTCAAAAAATGAGTTTACATTGGTTTTTAAACAGAAATTTAAAAATTTTACTAACAATTTTTTTTTTCAATTATAATGTGTATGATCCCATTGTCATAAGTAATAAAAAATAAATATAAATATTTTAAGCCTGAATAAATATATTTTTAAATTTATATTTTTAAAATTTTTTAAATATTTTGTCCAAATCAAATGCATTTATAATTTATATTTTTTAAAAAATAAACAAAAATTAATTTATAAAAATTTTATAAATATAAATAAAAAACGTAGCAAACGCTACCTAACCTTCTCTGTCATTGTTCTAATTTTCCCACTTTTTCACATTAAACATCTTCTAGATGTCTTAAACATCTTCTACATGTCTCACTCATTTAACCGTTGAAAATGACAATTGGTCTGATGACTTAGGTTTTAGTTCTGTTTTGTAGGTCATGTCCACTCTATAGGGGTTGTTTGGGATGATCTAAATAAGTGTACTTTTTGACTTTTTATGAAATATAAATTGGGTTTGGGTTGGGTTTGAAGTGATGTGTTAGAGAGGTGATGTGACTTAAATAAGATGATGTGACTTAAATAGGATAGTGACTTTTTGACTTTTTATCTTTTTCAAGACATGCCAAACTTGACCTAAAAGTCTCTTTTTAGAGGTCTCACCCATTTTTTTTTAAAAACATAACCAAGCACAGCCAAAATTTCCGTACTACATTCATTTCACGCGTCCTCCATTAAATCCTTATCTCTAAGCCTAACTTCATTGGCGGTACATCAAGTGTTTGTGGATAATAATAGAAGTAGTGTAGGTCGGAAGTGTGAAAGGATGGTGCAATGATGTTACTAGTTGAAAGAAAATGTGGAATGTGAAAGGTGGAATATTGAAAGAAGAAAAAAAAAAAATGTTTAACTTTGTAAAGTTATAGATATTTTATTTAAAAAAATTGTTAATTGCATATCATATAATTTGTTAGTTTAATTTAACAATTGATTAACAAAAAAAATTTATTTATTATGTGATTAAAAAATTTTCATCAACAATTATATCACGTGAATAATATCATATAATCCACATGATACTTGTGAATAATATCAAAATTTTAAAGTATGTTAGAATAGGTGGTGTACATTGGTCCCATTTGGTGTAACTGTTAAAACAGATTATAAATTATAACTTAACAGATTATGAATTATGACTTTAATCAGAAGTTATTAATCTGTTTGATGTAACTGTTAGATTATAGATTTAAGTTGCTGAGTAGTGTTTGTTCAATAAGTTGTAAAGTAACTTTTTCAATTAACTTTTATTTTTTGTTATTTACTACTTGTCTATATTTCTCATAAATAATAATAATAATAATAATCTATAGTCCATTTTGGTCTTTTTCTGCTTTTAAAAAAATAAAAAAATTTAAAAGTATAATCATAAATTAACATGTCTATAGTAAAAGATGATAATAAAAACTAATGGATGAACAACTTCTCAAAATTAACTTTTTTGAATTAAAATAAATTGTTAAAATAAAAAATTATTTAAAATAAATTTAACTAAACAGTTCAAAATAACTTTTCTAAAACTAAAAGTGTACCCCCAAGGATACACTATAGGAGGTGACATTAATGTTATGAAGTGTACCTCCAAGTACCTCAAATCAAAGATTCATTTGTACATTCCAGAAGAAAGGGGTCAAAAATTTATCCAGAATTAATTGAAAGTTAAAATTTATTTAAAATAATATTAAGAATTTTAAAAAAATTATCAAATATTTTATATAATATTCACTAAATTTTAATGTACCAAATATGACTTATTTATTTGTCTAATCGTATGTTTGTCATGGTCTTACATGGACCTTTTTTTGTATAATTTTTTTTTTATAAGTAAAGATTTTAAAATTTAATACAATTTTCAAATATCAGCACTGATTTATCACCCTACAACTAGAGTTTTAATTGAACTCTAGTGGCTTGTGTGAGCGATACATATGTGAGATTGGGTGGGAAACATTACCTGTAGTAGTAGTGGACTCCCTGCTAATCTGGTCGTCTCACGACAATAGAAGGCATCTAAGCCCATCAACGTCTTAGCCAGAGCCATGGCAATACAGCTCTTGCCCTCTTTCAAGCCTTGGGCAACCTCGGTCAGCCAAACACTAGACCCTCCGGAGCCTGAGACAAATAGAAAATGAGATAGCATGCACAAACAGAGGGCGTGTCGCCGGAAGCCTTGCCAATGATGGTTGTTGCGATCACCGGCATCAGAAAACCGATCGATCAAACTCGGAATATCCAGCATCCCGTCACAAATCAGAGACCGAGCGTCACGCATAATGAGTCCACACATTTGCCCTAAGGATTGGGCATGGCCAAAATTAAGTTGGGGCAGGAGCTCCTCGTCGCGCTCGGACTCCATTAAGGCTCGGAAATCTTCGAAGGTAGGACATATCTCTTGCCCAGCGAAGCTAAAGACATTCGTCACCGGATTCTAAAACCTCGCCGCGGTATGGAGAAACGGAAGGTGCAACGGGGTACGACCCAGAGTGAATAGTGCATTTATGCCGAAACCTCAGAAATTTAACTTTTCCGAGCCATCCAAGCTAGCAATCCAAGCTGTAAGATTTTGAGCAATAAACTCTTCCATTAGAGCAAATCAGTGTGGAATTGAGAAAAACTACGAAGCTGAGGTCATTTGTAGAAGATAAGGTTGGGTGGAGGACAGGTGTCAACATTCTGGTGATTCCTTCATTCATAGCCGGCCGGCCAAATATTATGCCGACCGGCTATCACTTTTTGCCTACCGAACAAATTTCTAGCCGATGGCCATTTCTTGTGGCCGATGGCCTCTATCCCTGGCAGATGGTCTTCCTCCTTGTTCCCTGAGCTGTTTATGCTAGGGATTGGGGAACTCCACCACCTCCAATCCCCCCCCGGTGATCGATTCTTGCGGAGTCACACCTGTCTGCTTATCAAGTTATTGTACATTTGCATATCGAGTTGTATTTCACTCTCTTTGAGTCTTTGATTTGTTTATCGAGTTGTACTCACACTTGATTGGTTATGTCATGCCTTTGTTTTGCTTATCGAGTTGTAAGTCGGTTCACTACCTGATTATTACGATGCAAGTACTCAATGTTCAAAACAAGTTCAATTTCATTCACATTATGGTGTGATACCTTGCGATGCGATGCATAGAAAATTTACAAATGCAACATCTTTTGAACAAAATGGTTGTTTCATTCCCATAACATGTTTTGCAAAAATATGTAATTTTTGAGAAAGAATAAAACCTGCCCGAGGCAGTGCAATGTGCTTAAACTACCAGTAAAAAGGAAAGTAAAGCATAGAATGGCAGGCATTTCCTGCGTAGACCGCATGTTTTGATTTCGTAGATCGCATGTTTAATTCCATTTCCTGCGTAGACCGCATGTTTTGATTTCGTAGATCGCATGTTTAATTCCATTTCCTGCGTAGACCGCATGTTTTGATTTCGTAGATCGCATGTTTAATTCCATTTCCTGCGTAGACCGCATGTTTTGATTTCGTAGATCGCATGTTTAATTCCATTTCCTGCGTAGACCGCATGTTTTGATTTCGTAGATCGCATGTTTAATTCCATTTCCTGCGTAGACCGCATGTTTTGATTTCGTAGATCGCATGTTTAATTCCATTTCCTGCGTAGACCGCATGTTTTGATTTCGTAGATCGCATGTTTAATTCCATTTCCTGCGTAGACCGCATGTTTTGATTTCGTAGATCGCATGTTTAATTCCATTTCCTGCGTAGACCGCATGTTTTGATTTCGTAGATCGCATGTTTAATTCCATTTCCTGCGTAGACCGCATGTTTTGATTTCGTAGATCGCATGTTTAATTCCATTTCCTGCGTAGACCGCATGTTTTGATTTCGTAGATCGCATGTTTAATTCCATTTCCTGCGTAGACCGCATGTTTTGATTTCGTA